TATATATATATATATATATATATAATATATATATTATGTATATACACACCCACAAAACATATATACTATACATACAGTTTGTAACAACATGAAGTACTATTGTCTTTAAATGCTGTACCACAGACAGACATTATCCTGGCTGAAATAAATCCTGTAATTGTCTTCAAGCTGCTAGCCACTTTTGAGAGTTTTGAGTCAGGTTGGTACTTAAATCCTGCCTACCCTTCACCCTCTTTCATGTCTTGGTAGTTTTTGCTTTTAGGCCCATCCCCCCCCCCACAGCCCAGGCATCTTTTTTTCCCCAGGATCCCTTGATTGGACTTTGGAGACAAGAAAGGGCATCAGAGGGAGGAGGCCATTCTTAGCCAACGCACCCCACACCTGCCTAGATTTGTGATGTTCTGTCCTGTTTGCCACATTCAGTGCTAGAAAGCAGTTATTCAAAGCTTTGTCCCTCCTACCCCCCTTGGTTTTTCTGTAGAGCACAAAAGTGAAAGAAGCTTCTTTAGCAGGGGTAGCAGTTCATTAAAATATACAACTATGTTTCCTAGCTCTGGGGTTCCCATTCTGTCCTGGAGAGTGCAGGTCACGGATGCTGTTATGAAGGTTTGGCGTGTGATCCATGAAGTTTCCTCCTGGCAGCCAGTGTCAGGATTAGTGCAGCGCTGGCCCAGGAGGGAACAGCCTAATGAATACCAACTTTGAAACAGTGCTGTCGGCACATTATTTAAGCTTGTATGTGCGCACAATTACGCACAACACATACACACAGGCCCTGGTCACGTGAAAATATGACAAAGGTTTTGGAAGGATAAACCAATAAGGCACCAAGGAAAGATGATTGCCAGCCAATTAGGACAACTTCAAAATGTAAGGAGGAAAAAAAATATATATATAAATTTTAAAGACTTCCTAAAATCTGGTCAACTGATTCATGGAGGGCTCCATGAATTCCTTTAGACAACTTTCTATCTAGATACTCCCTAAATTTATGAAGAGAGACACTGATGAAAATGAATGACGGAAGACAGACTGAAGGTTGAACACGCAAGGCTAACCTGGGCCTCAGGTGCTCCCCAACTCGGCAAGGCAGGCTGTGGAGAAGTTGCTGAACTACCCCGTTTTCCATTTTATGATTATTTCCATGAGTATATTTGTTTTCATAAGAAAAATGCATCTCACAGGGAAAAAGAATGTGGATTAAAAACAGGGTGGCCTCTGGTTGGGGGTGAGGTGACTGATACTGGTAAGACAGTAAGTAAGCAAGTGGGTTTTATCTTTGTCTCTCTTTGGGGGAGGGAAAAGAGCAGGAGTGAGGGTAAGAAAGAGGCGCCTCTGAAAGTTGGTATGAAACTAGACCTCCCCAAAACATCACCTAGGTTGCCTGCCATTGCCTTAGCCTCTTTTTTTTTTTTATTGTCTTATTTTTGAAATGTTTTTGAAATGTTTAGGTTTGGCATGTTGCTAAAAAAAATAATAATAATAAAAAAAGAATTCAGTCACTTCATTCCACTTCATTCCACAACTGTAGATGTGTGTGTCATCAATTTCTAGATTCCTCCACCAAGAAAGAAATGGGGAACAACCCCAAGCAGGCACGATGACTGAAGGCAGCAGAGCAAGTGCTGAGCTTTCTGGGAAGACAGACCAACCGAAGAAAGAGGTCGTGATCAGAAAAGGCCCTCATTTGAAAAACAGGAGAAACGTGGAGCCCAGATAGGGGCTCGAGTTCAAGGTTCCAGGAAGAGGCTTCTGAATAGAGAGGACAGGGGTATACACCCAGTTCTGCAGCAATGTGTACTAGGTTTTGTTGAATCCACTTAATTTTGATTCGGAGGATGAATTGTGTAAGAGGGGTACATTTTTGTAAATGTGAACGGCTTTTAAGAGTCCTTAACACTACAATACTAGGTTTCTCCTTATCGGCAGTGTTTAAATTCCCTATGGGAGCCATGCATTTGTCTACTTCATATCCATGAAGTAAAAACTGACGTGGGCTTAAAGTGGACTTTTCCCACTCTGGAATAAAGGAAGCACAAATGCCTAGACTCCAGTTGTTTTCCTAGGGAGGCTTTCTTTTATCCATTTGTGCTTCCTAAATGTAGTCCCCACTCCTTCCTGGTTATGGGTATTTTGCTGGCTGGTGTACTGTCACCCCCTCCCCCGTAATGGCCTCACACTGTTCATGAATGAATGGTTAAATAGATTAGGAAAGTAAATAGAATTTTCTAATAGTGAAGAAACCCCTGTGTGTGTGTGTGTGTGTGTGTGTGTGTGTGAGAGAGAGAGAGAGAGAGAGAGAGAGAGAGAGATTCATCAATATACAAACTCTCATGTATGAATGGAGCAGTTAAACAGATTAGGAAAGAAAACCAAATTCTATACCAGCAAAGAATTGTGTACGAACACTCATTATTTAGGCTTTCTCAGAAGAGGAGGAAATGAAAAATGTGGGGGGCTGGGGGGTGAAAAGAGGCCGTAGCATACTCTGACCCATATTTTAAAAGCTTAGGCAAATATGTTATGAGTCTCATGTGTTTTCAGAGCCTGCAGAGAGCAATGCCTTTCTGCTTTTGGAATATCTGGCTATAAACTAGTTCAAAGTCCAAGGATACAGAGGCCAGTGTTTGTTCACAGGTAGCCAGCCTCCCTCCCCCAGGTCAAGCACTTCATTCAAGGGTGGGTGTGGCTTCTAATCACTGCTCTCCAGGAGAGGAGGAATAAGAAAAGCAAAAAGACTGTTTAACATGATAAAGGAGGTGGGGCAGGGGCAGCCTAAACGTGTTAGAAATTTCTGAAACTATAATCATTTTTGTTGTTAAATCTAAAAAGAAGCCCCCTTTAGCAACGATCAGCACTTTCCAGGAGAAAGGAATGGATTTAACTTTTACCAAAATTGTAACACAAGCTCCTTTTTATGTTAAAAAAAAGAGAAAAGAAGAAAAAAGAAACAGGATCACTGAAGCCTATTAAGAACCACCCACTCTCTGGCACAAAGCTGCCCTAACCAGCCTAGAAGTTAAGCTCAACCAATCACCATTCTTAGGTTCTCAGGACTGCCCGTCATTACACCGGACATTCTATAAGGTTACATCTAACTTACTCAAAACTCAACGGTGGCGCTGTTAGAAATGAGAATTACTACAAGCACTACAGAAAAGGGCCCACAGCTCCCTAAATAAAGTTAAGGATGAAGGAGAAATGCTAAGCACCCTCTAACCTTGCCAGTTTGGGGAGGCCCCAACCACTTTATGCTTCCCTTCTTGGTATGCCTTGGGGCTTTAAACAGGACAAGTAGCTCCCCTTAAAGCATCTTGGACGCTTTAAGTGTGGAAGGAGAAACGAGTTGAAAAAGCACACCCAAGAACTTCTCAGTCAGTCACAGCAACCCAAACTCACTGTTCACAATAAAAAGAAAAGAAAAGAAAAAAAAAAAAGAGGACACACGTACAGGAAATATCTTTTCCCAATTTAGGACACACAGTTCAAAGAAATCTGAACAGAGTGGAACTTCGTTACAATGCCACCCTCAGGACTGTACAGCCCCCAGAGCAAAGGTAAATGTTGCCAAAATGCAACAAAGTTAAAAATTAAGGAAAAAAACATATAAATTAAAAAGAGGGTTCCCCTAAAGAAAGCAGTAAGAAACGCAAAATAGAATACGCGTGAGCTGAGCCCCTTCAAGAACTGGGACAGGTGCTCCCTCCAAACGCCCTTTTCCCTCTCTCTCCAAGGTGCCCCAGGAGGGGGCATCAGCACCAGGAAGGTAAACGGAAGTGACCTTGGCAGAGCTACCAAACAAACCGCCCCTCCCCTCCCCCAACCCCCGCCGGGTCCATGGCTGCGGCCTCCTACACGTGCGACAGGGACACCTGCTTGTGGTAGGAGGGGGGGGGGGGGTCCTGCCCGTGAGTGCCGCGCTCGCCTCAGCGTAGTCCCCCGCGGCCATAGCGCCGCCGCTTTTGTGGCCCCGCCGCCGGCGACAGCAGCAGCGGCTAGTGAAGCGCCTCCAGGACTCCACTGTCTTGCCGGACCAGATCCAGACTCCCGACGTGATGCCCACCACGAGGCACATGAAGTACTTGAGCATGAGCACCCAGTACTCGGGTTTGGCGCGCGGCTGGCCCGCATCGGAGCCAGGGCATGAACAGGTGAGAGCCGCCTCCCAGCTCTCGCGATAGTGCTGCTCGTACAGGTAGCAGGCCACCACGATGCTGGCGGGCACCGTGTAGAGCAGTGTGAAAATGCCGATGCGGATCATGAGCTTCTCCAACTTGTCCGTCTTGGTGCCACCCTGCTTGATGACGCTTCGGATACGGAAGAGGGACACGAAGCCGGCCAGGAGGAACAGCGTGCCCACCAGCAGGTAGAGCACCAGCGGGCCCAGCACGAAGCCACGAAGCGAGTTCAGGTTCTGGTTGCCCACGTAGCAGATGCCGGCCACCGGGTCCCCATCCACGGAGCTCAGTGCCAGCGCTGTGATGGACTTGACGCTGGGGATGAGCCATGCGGCCAGGTGGAAGTACTGCGCATAGCCCGCGATGGCCTCGTTGCCCCACTTCATGCCAGCAGCCAAGAACCAGGTGAGTGACAGGATGACCCACCAGATGGAGCTGGCCATGCCGAAGAAGTAGACCAGCAGGAAGACGACGGTGCACAGCGCGGGGCCGGTCGTCTCATAGTGGATGTGGCTGTGCTCACGGCTGCAGGCGACGCTGGCGTGACCCACGACCAGGCGCACCAGGAAGCCCAGTGATACGCACAGGTAGCACGCTGACAGGAAGATGATGGGGCGCTCGGGGTAGCGGAAGCGTTCCATGTCGATGAGGAAGGTGGCCACCGTGGTGGAGGTGGAGATGAAACACAGTACGGACCACAGGCCGATCCAGAAAGTGGCGAACGTGCGCTCGTCCGGACTGAAGGACGGCTGGTAGCAGGGCACCGCGCAGTTGGGCACCTGGCCTGTCCGCACCTTGTTGTAGAGTGGATGCGACTCCTTCAGGATGGGCACGAAGGGCTCCCGGCACTTGCACACAGACGGGCCGTCGGCAGGGCACTCTGCCCCGGAGGCCGGCATCCCCGGTGGGCCTGGGAGAGTAGGCTTGGCCGGGAAGGGCTTGGGGGGCGCCGTGGTGGGCTCGCTGCGATTGTAATCC